GAAGTGTTGAAGCAGCTGCCTGCCAAATTACTTCTCGGTCGATGCTGTCCAAGGCCTCTTGGAAATCGATCAGGTTCAGGTAGACGGTTGACTACCATTCTATACTCTCTTCTATGATGATGCGTAGCGTAGCTTTCCAATTTCATCCGCACACGATTCGTTCTCCTTAAAGCCAGCCAACCGTCCTGTTCCGGTCGTAATTTTGAATCCAGGGCATGTTTTGGTATCTCCAGAATTATGCGGCTTGACATTTTCCTTGCTCCGGGTGGACAGGGATGGAGCATGATTCCTCACCAGTTCTTGCAAAGACTTAGGTCACACAAACTTGTTTGGGAGTTTGACGAGGTAGCCCTTCTTCCAATCAATGTGCAGGTACCTTCCTTCCTTCCTTGTAAACCTTCTGCAAATGTGGTTTGAGCGTGTCTGCTGTTGTCTCTGAGTCTGTTTTCAGTGCTTCTGACGAAATTTCACGTGGTCCTGCTGCTTTCCCGCATTTCAGCAGCTTTATGGCGTTCAGGACTTCCACTTTTGTCCGACGGCTTGTGTTCACTGATAGTTCTGTGACTGGGCTGTTGGTAGTATTTGTGGACGAGTTGTAGGTGGTGGTGGTGGTGGACGATTCAAGAGTTTTCTGAAGTGGTCGGCTCATCGTTTCCTTTGTTTCTCCTCTTTGGTAACCAAGTTTCCTTGACCACATTTCATCCGTGTCATCTGCGTTGATCTCCTCCCAGATAGTATTCTGGTTATTTGGTATGATGTTGTCAGGTCTCTGTCTCTCCTACCTGCAGCCTGTCCTGCTTCAACTACCAGTGTGTCGTAGAATTGTCTTTTGTCTTTCCACCCACTCTTCTCCACTCTTCACTTCTTTGTCCAGCGTAGTGTTTTATACATTGTACTCAGTTCCTCTTCTCATTGTTCATTCTTACACTGGTTCGTTTTCTGCTTCACCATCTTCCTCTCCCTCCTCTATCAGCTTCCATGTGTCCATTGTGACCCATTCCTTGTCTCCTTTCTTCTTCTTTCCCAAGACGGTTATGCAGGTTTCCCTACACACCTCTCTCAACGAGTTCCAGTGTTCCTCCAGACAGCTTTCTTCAGGGATGTTCCTCGATATTTCCCATTTCGTCGTGATGACTGACGTGAAGATGTCCTTTGTAGTTTGCTCCCTCAGTTTCTATTCTGGGTGTTGAACTTCAACTGTGGTCTATCACCAAATTCTTTGAAAGCTTTCAACCTGATTTTGAAGGTTCTTTGTACTAGGTAGTGAGTGGTTTCAGCCTACATCTGCTCTCCTTCTTGATCTTGTGTCAAGTAGGCTGCGTCTCCACTTTCTTCAGACTGAGATGAAGTTGACCTGATTTTTAGTGTAGTTTGTCCTGGTGTCTGGTGAAATCCACATCGCTTTATGAATATCCTTGTGTTTTACACACCCGGCCCCAATCACCAAATCGTTGAATTCGCAGAATTCTGGAAACAGTTCTCCATTCTCGTTCATTTCACCGAGTGTTTCTTGACCCATGATTGGTTCTCTACCTGTGTTGTTCGCTCCCAGTTTGGCATTCCTGTTACTCCACCCATTAGAATTTTGATATCGCCAACTAGAGTGGGGTCTTATCCATTGCTTATTGCAGTTGTCTGTAGAATTCCTCCTTCTTCTCTTCATCTGCATCATTTATTGGTGCGCAGCACTGTATAATTGTAACTTCCCCTCCTTTTCAGTTGAATCTTGCTGTCATGATCGTGATCCTGGTCGTGGAGGAGATTGATTCCCGCTGCATGAGAGCCTTCGATGCTCTTGGGGACATCATGGTAGCCACTCCAAAACTCAGCGTGCTCTTGGTTGTCGTCTGAGTGACAATATCGGAGTAGATTATTGACTCTTCTCCAGTTAAGAGTTTGGAGGGTCCACTTCCATTCCATCTACTTTCGCAGATTCCAAGCACTCCCATGCCATATCTCATCATCTCATCTTGACTTTTCTAAAGCCACATTTGATGGCAACCTCAGACTCGGACTTCAGTCTCTCCGAGTGTGAAAAATCAAACGGCTCACAGTTCTAGCCCAATTACTCCCAGTTAGCACTCTAAATATTGATCATCGAGCAACACAATGACATCAGGCATCGCGCTGAAGTCTGGTTCGAATTCGGATCACAATTACTTTTCATCCGTTTACCCACTCACTCATTTGTTTTTTTCGAATACGCTGTGACTTATACAAATACAGCCTAGACAAACTTCCGTGTCCCTGGATAAGTCCTATGAGGTGTTGTCTATGATGATAAACGGCGGCTTATAACGTCAGCCCTTCTGTTCCGGAATATGGTTAGTAATGAAGAGATATGCGCCTTATCTATCCATTTTATATCTTTTCCACAGGCTTTCAGTACATTTCGTGGTTCTCCTGCATGCATATTAGTGAAAATCAACTTCACGGCCACTATCTGTTTACGTTCGCGGTAACTTACCACCAACTCTGAGGACTGAGGTCCGCGATGTGCCTTCGTGGATTACTCATCAACTTTTGACTCTGTTTCTAGACCGCTGCAAAATATCTGCCATAGATGTACTGGACCGTGGGCTACAAAGTTGTAGTGTTCTTATTTTTGTGAAAGGAGTCATTATACTTTCTGTGAAGGGAGGCGTTCCATTTCGTTGCCCACTGAAGCTGGTGTGCCTTAAGGTGCAGTACCCTCTCCATTTCTGTTCGGGTTCTTTCTGGAAGGCGCACCCGGCTTTTTTGAAATTGATTTTATTGAGAATGCTGATGACCTGACGGTATCCATTCCGGTGGAATCCCACTCCAGTTGCTCCGAATTATGTGGGTTCTTGTCTACGGCTGACCAATGGGCCCTTTAAGATGGTCTGAAGCTAAACCCTTCCAAATGCCGGACTGTCGACTTTAGCTCCAGGCGAAACAAGACTTGTGCGATCTGTTTAGGTTTCATGACACCTGCTGCATTGGTGGTATTTCCGCAGGGAGTAAATCGGGCGCCTATATTCTGGGGTTGAGTTTTACTTCTGATCTTTGCTGGTCGTCTCATATATTACTGACTTGTAAAAAATTTTTAGTTCGATGTACTACATGGAGAAACCGAGTCTATCTGCTACGACACGGCCCCCACACTTACAACTTATTAATTCCTGTATTTAACCTATTCTTCTCTATTTTTCCTGGTTAATCTTTCCGGTCTACCGAAAAACGACTAAAGTAAATTACGTTTGGGTTTGAAAGCTGTCAGTGGGTCGAGCGGTGTGCCTCTGGCCCTACTGGTCAACACCGTATCTGGCAAGCGTTCAAATTCTAGCGAGTAACTGGCTGCAGCAAATTTAAGTGATAGTGAGCATCTACCTCATTCACAGCTCTCTTCTTACATCTCAGGGAGGACAAGAAGAAACTACACAAGACTGTATGCTCGCGTAGCTAAACACAAGGATTTGGCTGTACCTTACCTAGCACGCATATTTCGTGAAGAAAATATGCTAGAACAGAACTCATATATCAGCCTTCTGACAGTAACCAATCTCATCTCAATAAATTAACTAGAAAAGCAAAACGCTCCCGGTTTTACTATTTTTTACATCACTAAAATTTTTATAATAACGCAATTCAAAACGTTGTACAGAGGTGTATGTGTGCACATATTTTGTTGTCGTAATATTGAATGCTGAGAACTCCGAATTGTACAAAACCCGTATGAAAGTGAAGTGAATATTATCACCGCTATCATGCGCATAACAGATACGCTGGGCATCAGACGTCAGGGGATTTCTCAACCCGCCGAGTATTGTCATACGGCGTATCACAGACATTGATACTGGGTCCGTTTCGGTTCTCACTTCCTATGGATGACCTTCCTTAGAGTCCTAGCTCCCCAATCGTACCTTACACCGACAACCATAACTTTAGGAGTGCTGTAATGCCTGAAAGGGAATGGGGCACACCGCAAGGTGGCCTTACAGTGTTCGAAGACCGCATGAATAATAATGGGCTGGAACTTGATCTGGATAAATGTCGAGCTATATTACTTCACGCTCCAGATTTTAACCTCTCATGCACACCTAATATCGGCCGACAAACTAGAGATTCGTTCCAGCCATCAAGGAGTAACCTTTAAAGCCTACGCAGTGCAACATTTCATGCGCAGACAACTAGGTGTCCTTGCCGTGGAACACTTTCTGAAGCCCTAAGAGACCTATTACAACCTCAGACGTCCACGACCTTACTGTCTCACCGTATCTGAAAACAGAAGCTCCTCGAAAAAGTTCAGAGGCGATCCACCAGGGGTTTGTAGAGATGCGGCAAACACCATGTCAGAACTGGCTTATGGAGCTAGGCCCGTAAACTCTTCGTTACCTCGGGTTACGCGGTGGCTCGGTAATAGCGTAAAAGATCCTAAGCAATACAAGTTACTCAAACAGTGGAATTCTACCAAATGGTCACTACATCATTCATCGCGTACAGTCAGAGAGAATCGTCCATCTGAGGGAAAGAACCTGTTTGTTCTCAAAATATTTCTCCCTTCAAGTCAACAGCCACTGGAATGCATTACCTGCTGGATTCTCCACCACTCCATGCTTTGGAAGTCTCAAGAAAAGTTTGGACAGCTGCACGATGAAATGTTACTTGCATTTATCCCGTTGGAATACCGACAAGGCCTGAAGGACCAAATATTTCCGCATCAGTTCACCAAAGTCATGTCCACATCTAGTCGCATGCTGCCACAACTATCATGAACTTGAATCAGTTCTGTACCTTCTTATTACACATCACTACTAATTTGCCATTCTTTATTTGTAGTATCTCAAACAGAATCCCTCTTCATCCTTTCTATGTCTGACTTTCTACTGTTAATTATTCTCGGATTTACTGGGGTTACGGAAGCCAACTGTATGGACTTAATGAACGGGAATCCAACCAAGAAATTATGTGATTTATACGAGCTCGTGGAAGAGATACTGAACACTCAATTGTTTTAAATCTTAATTTGCAGTGTTACTATAACAAAAGTTTGCCCGCAAGTTTAACATATCAAGATGATGCCTCCGAACGTATCACTTATAAAGTATGACAGTCCAATACTTATCACCAAAAATTTGGAGAAAAAATCACCAGGGGTAATTCAGCTTCACAGTTGGTTATTAGATTTTCAAGGCTGCCACATTAAAAGGCACTCAACAAATCGCGGATACTTCCGGTATACCATGTCCACCACCCAAAGCCAAATCATGTATGGGTGAAACAAAAACAAACCAACAAACGGAAGAGATTCTAAATTCCATCTTACCTCCCAGGTAATTGGACAGATCATGTTTCACATTGTTCAGAGAATGGAGTGAAAATGGTCAGCTCTGGATTCAGCATGTTTCAAGCACACCAGCCACTCGACTCGATGTTGTCAATCTTCAGGAAGAACTTGATAGGAGACTACAACAACGTCAGGCAAGAGAAACCGGTATATGCCCAGTTCGCAGAGAACTGTACAATCAGGTATACCTGAGGTATTTTAAACAGTTAATCTTTCCTAGGTTTTCGATGAACTTATACGGCAAGTAACCATTAATTGTGCAGAGCGTGGGTTGCTGCTTTTGCGCGTACGCGATGAAATTCGGATGACCATAGCAGCGTACCAAACCTTGTATGAATCAAGTGTAGCATTCGGGATGAGGAAAGCTCTGCAATCTGAACAAGGGAAGGCAGATATGGAACGAACGGTAGGATAAGCCTTATTTTGTACTAATATGCAATTGACATCTTACTTCGTTATTGATGTAAGCTTAGACAAAATACTACCTACTGCTAGGCGCCATGCATTTTCTTCAAGTTTATTTGCAAGAACTGTAAAACCAGAAGGCTCAAAAATTTCAACAAGCACGTAACTCTACAAGAAAAAGCATCGTCGTAAAATCAGCTTTCAGTTATAAGAATATTCATTCAGATAAAAGTATTTTTTAGCAGCTTATTGAGTGCTTTCAATAAAAGTGTGCTACCACTTCTTTTTGGAACAACTTCCGATAAATGATCACTCTTCTAGGAAACTGCTGCACCACTCGAATATGACTCATATGTAGCTTTTGGGCCGTTTTACGACATGTTGTAAAGCGATTATTCTTAAAGACGGCACAGCGATTTGATATATAACCACGTATGTTACATATCAACATGCTATAACCTAATATTAGGTAAATTTCCCCCAAAAAATGAGTCAAACGAAATAAGTTTAACTATTTTGACTGCTCTTGACAAAGTAGATGAAAATGTCTTGTCACTAACCCGAGGCATACCATCTGGTTGAGCTCCATTAATTAATCTTCTCTCCTGCAGAATGGACTACATGACTCCATAATTTTGGATGGAGGCTTCTAAAATTAGGGTAGAGTGTCTCAAACATATCTTCATCAAATTATTTCAATCCCCTGCTAAAAGACAACAGCATGTCGAATTCCTTATCTGGAGATCTGTTACAGTACATACTTGTTTTCAGATACAGACTACGAACAACCAGCAAGTCATTCCGTAACCAAACATAGGGTAATGATGATCCACTCATAAAGTGGTTGCTAGAATTTTGATTCCAATTATGTATATGCACACTTTTATTTTAATATTAATATTTGTCCCTAGGGTTCCTAGTGGAAGATAGGGTTTCAGTAGCATGTCTCCATTGCACTCTCTTCTTTGCAGTCTTCTGAACCCGGCTCCACAACTGCCTAGAAGCTTTCATTTCTTCGTCACACGATCCCCCCCCATGTCACCCTTGGACGCCCAACTCATCGTTTCCCATTTGGGTTCCACTGGACGGCCTGGCGCGTGATGTCCCCAAACGGTCTTCTCAGTGTATGCCCAATCCATCTCCACTTTCTTCTGCTGCATATTTGCTGGGTGATGGATTCCTGGCTGGTTCGTTGCCAGCCAGAGTTCCTCCGTGCTTATTCTTATTATTCTGGCCATCTGATCTCCATCTTCAGTATCAAGTGAGTGTAGGTGGCGGCTGTTGATGAATGTCTGTAGTTTGTTGGAAATGCTTTTCGTAACGCGCCAAACATCTGAACCACACAGAAGCACTGAATTAAAGTTGGTGTTGAAAATCCGAATCTTCTTCACACTTTGTGCTGAGTGCAGTAGATCTCCACACTGGTTTCAGATTGATGAAGGCCTGCCTTGCTGTCTTTCTGATCCTGGCTTTGAAATCCTCATCTGTGCCATCTGTATTTGAAACGATGCCGCCTAGGCAGGTAGGTAGGTGAAAGAGACTACTTCCTTTGGGTTTCCCCCGTTGGTGATGATCGGTGCTTGTTGTTGTTGTCGGTTAGGTATCTTCATCACCTCTGTCTTCTCTTTGTTTACTTAAGGTCCCGTATTCGCTGTCCCTTCTGTCGACTTGTTGGATTTTGCATGTACATCTTCGAGTTCGTGCGACATTAGACATGAATGGTTATCGGCAAAATCCAAATCTTCTAGGCTCTTTTCATCAGTACAGCCAGTGTATGCACATCTTCTCGCTCCTCACAGTTAGCTGCATGATCCAGTCCACCACAATCAGGAATATCATGGGGATAGTAGGCAACCTTGTTTCACTCCTCTCTTCACTTCAAAGGCATCACTGAGCTTCCCATTATGAATCACTCGGCATGTGACGTCTTCATACATCTGTTGAATGAGGTCGATAAAGATTTGTGATACTTCGAAGTGTTGAAGCAGCTGCCTGCCAAATTACTTCTCGGTCGATGCTGTCCAAGGCCTCTTGGAAATCGATCAGGTTCAGGTAGACGGTTGACTACCATTCTATACTCTCTTCTATGATGATGCGTAGCGTAGCTTTCCAATTTCATCCGCACACGATTCGTTCTCCTTAAAGCCAGCCAACCGTCCTGTTCCGGTCGTAATTTTGAATCCAGGGCATGTTTTGGTATCTCCAGAATTATGCGGCTTGACATTTTCCTTGCTCCGGGTGGACAGGGATGGAGCATGATTCCTCACCAGTTCTTGCAAAGACTTAGGTCACACAAACTTGTTTGGGAGTTTGACGAGGTAGCCCTTCTTCCAATCAATGTGCAGGTACCTTCCTTCCTTCCTTGTAAACCTTCTGCAAATGTGGTTTGAGCGTGTCTGCTGTTGTCTCTGAGTCTGTTTTCAGTGCTTCTGACGAAATTTCACGTGGTCCTGCTGCTTTCCCGCATTTCAGCAGCTTTATGGCGTTCAGGACTTCCACTTTTGTCCGACGGCTTGTGTTCACTGATAGTTCTGTGACTGGGCTGTTGGTAGTATTTGTGGACGAGTTGTAGGTGGTGGTGGTGGTGGACGATTCAAGAGTTTTCTGAAGTGGTCGGCTCATCGTTTCCTTTGTTTCTCCTCTTTGGTAACCAAGTTTCCTTGACCACATTTCATCCGTGTCATCTGCGTTGATCTCCTCCCAGATAGTATTCTGGTTATTTGGTATGATGTTGTCAGGTCTCTGTCTCTCCTACCTGCAGCCTGTCCTGCTTCAACTACCAGTGTGTCGTAGAATTGTCTTTTGTCTTTCCACCCACTCTTCTCCACTCTTCACTTCTTTGTCCAGCGTAGTGTTTTATACAATGTACTCAGTTCCTCTTCTCATTGTTCATTCTTACACTGGTTCGTTTTCTGCTTCACCATCTTCCTCTCCCTCCTCTATCAGCTTCCATGTGTCCATTGTGACCCATTCCTTGTCTCCTTTCTTCTTCTTTCCCAAGACGGTTATGCAGGTTTCCCTACACACCTCTCTCAACGAGTTCCAGTGTTCCTCCAGACAGCTTTCTTCAGGGATGTTCCTCGATATTTCCCATTTCGTCGTGATGACTGACGTGAAGATGTCCTTTGTAGTTTGCTCCCTCAGTTTCTATTCTGGGTGTTGAACTTCAACTGTGGTCTATCACCAAATTCTTTGAAAGCTTTCAACCTGATTTTGAAGGTTCTTTGTACTAGGTAGTGAGTGGTTTCAGCCTACATCTGCTCTCCTTCTTGATCTTGTGTCAAGTAGGCTGCGTCTCCACTTTCTTCAGACTGAGATGAAGTTGACCTGATTTTTAGTGTAGTTTGTCCTGGTGTCTGGTGAAATCCACATCGCTTTATGAATATCCTTGTGTTTTACACACCCGGCCCCAATCACCAAATCGTTGAATTCGCAGAATTCTGGAAACAGTTCTCCATTCTCGTTCATTTCACCGAGTGTTTCTTGACCCATGATTGGTTCTCTACCTGTGTTGTTCGCTCCCAGTTTGGCATTCCTGTTACTCCACCCATTAGAATTTTGATATCGCCAACTAGAGTGGGGTCTTATCCATTGCTTATTGCAGTTGTCTGTAGAATTCCTCCTTCTTCTCTTCATCTGCATCATTTATTGGTGCGCAGCACTGTATAATTGTAACTTCCCCTCCTTTTCAGTTGAATCTTGCTGTCATGATCGTGATCCTGGTCGTGGAGGAGATTGATTCCCGCTGCATGAGAGCCTTCGATGCTCTTGGGGACATCATGGTAGCCACTCCAAAACTCAGCGTGCTCTTGGTTGTCGTCTGAGTGACAATATCGGAGTAGATTATTGACTCTTCTCCAGTTAAGAGTTTGGAGGGTCCACTTCCATTCCATCTACTTTCGCAGATTCCAAGCACTCCCATGCCATATCTTATTATCACTTTGCTAATCTAGGCAACCTAGCTAGGTTCATACATGTTGCGGGCATTTCATTTCCCCATCCCTACGTTCGCTTTCATCGAGGGATATAAGACACATAGTCCAGTTGGCTTCCCGAAGGCTTTCACCAATTGGCGTCATTTCGTTTCTTCGATTGCAGCAAAAAATAATTTTGTTTTTATGTTTTATATTTTCTTTATGCTTTGAAGTTTGTTAGATTGGTTTTTGGGGTGGGGTTGCTAGTCCTACGCCTAACTTTGCCTGTTTATCCGGGCTTAGGAAGGGCCGGTTACTAGTGAACTAGTTAACCGGGCGAGGTTAAATATATTATATAGCTGACTTTTATTATCTGATAAGATTATAAATATATTGTATGGTATTTAAAATTAATCAACATGATTCCTTTATACAGATAGCTGATTTGGAACAAGAGAAAAAAGATCTAGAAAGACAAGTTTACGAACTAAAAACAAAGTGCGAACAAATCGAAAAGCGAGCAGCAGAACAAAGGCAGTTAGAAGAAAAGAAACATCAGGATGAAATACAGTTCTTAAAAAGGAATAATCAACAGCTAAAGGTATGTTCTATAAGTTGAAATCACATTAGATCATATTCTACGAACTAACTCCAGTGCAAATAAAAGAACGGTTGTTTTGATTTAAAAACCGTTACGTAGTAATATGAAGCATGCTTCTTACTGTGTCTTAGTTATGAGTTTATAATTGTCTCATCTAGTGGCTTTTAGTTCGTTAGGCACATGCTCTTCTGGTATTACAGTCATTTCTAAATGATGCTCAGAGAGATATAATATGAGAGTAAAACTTGGGAACTGTAGTAAATTGTAACTCAATCTCAGGTTATTCGTTAGTTACGTAATACAGTTAAAGTATTATTCAATGGATTACGTTTCATACACAATTTATTTACCATAGTAACTTCGAGACAACACAACTTTACGACAAGGTTAGTAGAGTTCTGATTAACTCACCTTCTTTGTGATATGGGTAGTAGGATTTTCAAATCATTTGGCGTGGGAGCTGAGTTATTCCTGTTACATGTATTAGTGTTGATTTGATAAACAAAACCTCGGTAGTCAATCTCTCTCTTGTTTAGTTAGTTTTAAGGCTTGTTGTGCGCTCACCTTATCTGTGTGATTGCGTTTAATTACAAGGATAGTTACAGCCGAGCATGTTTCTAGACTTCTGATCTTACTAAGATATATCTATTTTAATTTAGCTGGGTTTTTGTGCTCAAATAACCTAAATGAATCTGTCCGCGTGATTTCACCTATGTACTGAACCTTGCAATCATTACAAGAGATTTGACAGACTGAACTATTTTGTCTAATTGGATCAGTAAGATACTTTAGCCTACAACATTTGTTCCTAAGTTGGTTTGACGGCTTAAATGCCACTCTAAACCAACTCTGTTGAGAGATAATCGTAAATCTTTTAAGATACCTTCCTTGTATAGTAACAGCATGGGTTTTGAATTCTCGCTTCATAATGTCACCATTGGATTTATCATCATTACTGGTATAAACACCTGTTCTACTACTACTGCTCATATTTTCCCTACAGTTCCTCATGAATTTACTGATGAATTTAGGTGGGTAATTATTGAGGTGTTAGGTATCTTTGTTGTGTCTAATTTCTCATCTTATACTTTATTTTACTAGTAAGCTTTTTTTCCCTCTGTCACTCAGACATTTACTCAATTCTACTTTGACTGACTACAATGAGATCATTTGAAATCAAACAAGCTATTTAAAATGGGAAAAAAAAATTCACACTTTAAAGCAGCTTAACTTAATGCCGAGTCGTCATAATTTCAATAAGATTTATGAAAAAGTTACAATCCATAAAATAGATAGGTTTTTCCATCAGACATAAAATATATTAAAAAATTTCCAGCTTCTCAGTTATCTTTATATTTAGCAACGGTACAAAGCTAAATTAGAAACCATTTAAAATCTATGCTTACTAATTATTATGATATAAAGGTTTGGTTAGATGATATACAGTTAAGAAACGTATGCAGCACCAAAGATCAGGATTCTTCACTATCATATTTGAAAGGCATATCTACTTCTGTAAGGATAAATAGCTTATTCTTTAAGTGTATTTGATGAAAAAGACGTTCTTACTTGAATCATAGGGTCTCTTATAAGGTTAACATTTTTGTCATATATGGAATATTATTGTTTATTTTTTAACGTCTCACTCTATTCGATTTCTTAATCTTCAGGCTCAACTGGATGGAATTATGAACCCAAAGAAATAATGAACTTATGTTGCCAGTTCATCGACATCCAAGTATTCAGCTACATTCAATATTTGCACTTATTTTTATCCTAATTTGTTTCATCACCACTGAAACATGATTCTTGACTTGACAGATATGTATCATATTTCAAAATGTTAAAAAAGCCTTCTTAATACTTATAATGAAACTGAGAACATTAGTATTTTCCTGAAAAGAGGAAAGTTATTTTCGAAATGCCCTGTTTCTTTTAAAAAAAATGATTAGTGGAAGAAATCCAGGGAATCTTGGCCATTGATATGTTCTTCTGCGTATTGAGGCAAAATAGCCTTCCATCGCTGCTTTAGTCAGATGTAAGGGCTTTCCAAGATATCTTGGTTGAAATATTAGCTTCATTATATGTATACATTATATAGTATATTTCGAGGGGGCTTATAATTGGTAATTTTTGAGTAGACTCTACTCGGTTGTAATTACCGTTATTAGGTTTTAAAGCATATGTGTGACATGCAGATTGTAATTTATTTCTATGTTTAGCATTTCAGTTGGTTGATGAGAATTCTATAGCCACTAGTTGCAACTCATGCCGTATTATGAAGATTAAAGCCTACCTACATATACACAGCTCGCTTGGTTAACTAATTCGCTAGTTACTAGCTGGTCCTAAGCCCGGGTAAAAAGGGAAGGTTGAGCATAGGGCTAGCAACCCTACACCGTAAAACAAATAAAACAGCTACAGAAACTTCAAAGCACAAACGAAATATAAAAAATAATAACAAAATTATTCCTCGCTGGAATCGGAGAGGCGAAATGACGCCAGTTGGTGAAAGCCTTCGGGAAGCCAATTGGCAGATGTGTCTTCTCTCGATGAAAATGAAAGTAAACGTGGGGACATGGAATCTCCACACCATGTCTGAACCCAGCAAGGCTGTCCAGATTGCAAACGAGATGAAGGGGTATCACACTGAAGTGCTTGGAATATGCGAAAGCAGATGGAATGGAGTGGACTCTTCAAACTGTCAACTGGAGAACCAATAATCTACTCCGATATTGTCACACAGACGACAACCACGAGCGCACTAAGCTATGGAGTGGCTATCATGATGTCCCCAAAAGCATCGAAGGCCCTCATGCAGTGGGAACCAATCTCCTCATGCAGGATCATGACAGCAAGGTTCAACTCAAAAGGAAGGAAGGTCACAATCATAGAATGCTACACTGTGCACCTACAAATAATGCAGATGAAGAGAAAAAGGACGAATTCTACAGACAGCTTCAATCGACACTGGACAAGACCTCAGTTGGCGATATCGAAATTCTAGTGAGCGACACGAATGCCAAACTGGGAGGGGACAACACAGGAAGAGATCTAACCATGGGTCGAGAAGCGCTAGGTGAGGTGATGAATGAGAATGGAGAATTGTTTGCAGAATTCTGTGCATTCAACGACTTGGTGATTGGAGTCAGGCAGTGTGTTCAAGCACAAGGATATCCACAAAGCGACATGGATTTCACCAGACACCAGGACACACTAAAAATCAAATCGACTTTATCTCAATTTCAGGAAAGTGGAGACGCAGCCTACTTGACACAAGATCAATAAGGGGAGCAGATGTAGGCTGAAACCACTCACTATCTAGTGCAAAGAACCTTCAAAATCAAGTTGAAAACCTTCAAGTAAGTTGGTGATAGACCGCAGTTCAAGTACAACACTCGGAAACTGAAGGATGAAACTACAAAGGAGATCTTCACGGCAGCCATCAAGACAAAATGGGAGATATCGAGGAACATCCCTGAAGAAAGCTGTGTGGAAGAACACTGGAAGTCTTTGAAAGCTATGTGGAGAGAAACCTCCACAACAGTATTAGGAAAGAAGGAGAAAGAAGACAAGGAATGGGTCTCGATTGACACATGGAAGCTGATAGAGGAGGGAGAGGAAGATGGTGAAGCAGAAAACGAACCAGTGTAAGAATGAACAATGAGAAGAGGAACTGAGTACATTGTATAAAACACTACGCTGGACAAAGAAGTGAAGAGTGGAGAAGAGTGGGTGGAAAGACAAAAGACAATTCTACGACACACTGGTAGTTGAAGCAGGACAGGCTGCAGGTAGGAGAGACAGAGACCTGACAACATCATACCAAATAACCAGAATACTATCTGGGAGGAGATCAACGCAGATGACACGGATGAAATGTGGTCAAGGAAACTTGGTTACCAAAGAGGAGAAACAAAGGAAACGATGAGCCGACCACTTCAGAAAACTCTTGAATCGTCCACCACCACCTGCATTCCGTCCAGAAATACCTCCTACAGCTGCTGAACTATAAGTAAACATAAATCCTCCAACAAAAGTGGAAGTGCTGAATGACATAAAGCTACTGAAATGTGGAAAAGCAGCAGGACCAGATGGGATCCCGCCAGAAGCACTGAAAACAGAAGCAGAGACAATAGCGGACACGCTCACACCACTATTGCAGAAGGTGTGGAAGGAAGAGAAGGTACCTGCCGATTGGAAGAAGGGTTACCTTGTCAAACTGCCAAAGAAGGGAGACCTCAGTGTTTGCAAGAACTGGCGCGGAATCACTCTCCTGTCCACCCAGAGCAAGCAAAATATTAAGCCGCATAATCCTAGAGAGGCTTAAGGATGCACTGGATTCAAAATTACGACCGGAACAGGCTGGCTGGATTCAGGAAGTACAAATCATGTGCAGACCAAATTGCAACGCTTCGCATCATCATAGAACAGAGCATAGAATGGCAATCAGCTCTCTACCTCAACTTTATCGACTTCGAGAAGGCCTTTGACAGCGTCGACCGAGAGGTAATTTGGAAACTGCTTCAATACTACGGAGTACCGCGAACCTTTATCAGCCTCATTCAACAACTATATGAAGACACCAAGTAATTCACAATGGGAAGCTCAGTGATGCTTTTGAAGTGAAGACAGGAGTGAAACAAAGTTGCCTACTATCCCCCATGATATTCCTGATTGTGGTGGACTGGATCACGCAGCTAACTGTGGGGAGCTGTGAGAAGAGGGGGATACGCTGGACTGTGGAAAAGAACCTAGAAGATCTGGATTTCGCCAGGGATGACTTGTGCCTGATGTCACATAAACTTGAAGATCTACAGGCGGAAAATAACAAGTTGGCAGAAGAGGCAGCGAAGGAAGACGGGACTTCAAGTGAATATAGAGAAGACAGAGGTGATGATGATACCGCACCAACAAAGCCAATAACAACAACAAACTCGGATCACCATCAACATGAGAAACTTAAAGGAAGTAACCTCCTTCACCTATCTAGGAAGCACTGTTTCAACTACAGGCAGCACAGGCACAGACGAGGATGTCAAAGTCAGAATCGGAAAAGCAAGACAGGCTCTCATTAGCCTGAAACCAGTGTGGAGATCTTCTGCACTCAGCATGTGAAACAAGATACGGATTTTCAACACCAACGTCAAGTCAGTGCTTCTGTATGGCTCAGAGACTTGGCGCGTCACGAAAGGCATTTCCAATAAACTACAGACATTCATCAACAACTGCTTACGCTCGCTACTGGAGATCAGATGGCCAGAAAGAATAAGCAACAAGGAGCTATGGGAACGAACCAATTAAGTACCTATCATCCAACAAATATGCAGAAGGAAGTGTAGATGCTTGTTTTCCACAAAGTTAATCAGGTTTTAAGCCAGAATCTTTTGAACGCAAAATGTAAAACATACCAACATCTTCATCTACCAAGAATTTACTACTTGCATACTCTTAAAATAAATAAAGGAGAAAAAAAAAGAAAACATTACTTCCAGAAGGAGGACTGTTATGCAAATGAACCAAATGACAGGTTGATACTTGTTAAACCTTACTCGGTTTAGCGTATTATGCATCTAGTATTCATTTAAACAGTAGCGACTGATGTGATATATTTGATACGTTATATATCAGAAAACACTGTGACAGGATGTCTCAAATGATGTATTTAATATTAGGGCTGAATCAACATATGAGCAATGTTGAGGTCAGGCGATGGATACTAAGTAAAACAGGCAAGTCGATTGATGAGGTTGTCAACCTTCATTGACTGAGATGACTTGAACATCTACTACGCATGCCTAGTCACCACACACATTGACGTGCCATTCTAGGGCTAGAAGAAGTTGGATCAGGTTGGAAGAGGGTTTAGAAGCCAGACCAGATGTGGTACTAGTCGATGAAGTCACAGAGTGTTGTGTCTGAGTCATGTAAGGAGATTTAAACTACCTGGCTGGGGTCTTCTAGACGACAGGAATCAGTGGTTGTGGTCACTGGGTTACATGGCTGAAAGTCGATAGCAGTAGATAATCACTCCTTGACATTTCTTAATGCTTGAATATTTTCACTAACTGTTATCTCTCTGCTATTCATCCTCACACAACTAGGTCTACTTTTATAATACTTTTCCTACCAAGCTATTCTTTGTATACTGTAGTGAAGTGTAACAACTTGAGCTGATGCACTTGTGTTCAAGACTATACATTAATTTTATTCGTCTGTCTGATGAAAAATAATGTAAAAAACTTTGAAAACCACGCATAGATTAATAAGGGATGCAGAGTATTTTTCCAAGTGTATTATTCAGAAAATGTCGACACGACACCTTTTCTGCAGTTCCGGAAGTATTTTCCAGACCATTTCACGCTACCCGATGTCACCCTTAAGTATTTTGCAGTTCTCTAAATTAGATTGAACTTTTTCGTAGACTTGTCTGTAGTTCCCTATGTTAGCACTAAGTAATTTTTAGACCATTTCAAAGTTCCTTATGTATACCCGAAATTTATTACAAACCATTTTGTAGTTCCCTAATTTTTCACTATAGTGATATACAAGACAATGATTTATGAGTGTTTAAATCTTGAAGGTTTTATCAAACCCCAGTGTTCAAATATTAAAAGTATACCATTAATATTCAGGCATGCAAGACATAATGGTGTATAAAATCAAGCATACTTTAAATATAATCTGATTTAGTGACGTTTCATATTCAGACTTATGCAAACACTTTTCAATAGGCTTAAAACTACTTTTATTTATAATAGACAGAATTTAAGTAGAAACATTACATATAATCTTAACTAAAATCTCTATCTTAATGCAGTTTAAGTAACGCTAAATTAAGGATAACGCACTTTTGGGTGTAGTGACTTCTTAACAATTAGATTGGGGATGAGGAGTGGTGATACAATGATGAAATTTAAA